CAACATGCTTTTTAAAAGCAATAAAGTCCAGAGATCCATAACCACAATCCACCACAGATCAGCTATTTGTCAGTGTTTACTAAAGTGCTAAAAACAAATATCTGATAAATCGATGTAGGTTGCAACATAATCTTAACTTATCAAAAGTTAACATAAGGTTATGTTACAGGTCTTACAGTGCTGGATAAATAAAGAGTAATCGTATGGCTGAAATCCTTAAAAGTAAAAAAAATTTAAATATGTTGCTCATGTCTTTCCAATGTTGTATACATGTCAAAAAGCCTAGGCATTGAACACATGATCTCTGCTGAAGGGGCAGGATTAGAGTTTATGTTGGCCAATTCTACATTTTAGCAGAGATCTTGTGACCAAATGCCAAGGCTTGTTATATGGGCAGCATCATCTCTAGTAAAGTCAACATTTTAACCCTTTCTACTACTTTGTCTATCCATTCCAAGAAGACTGTTAACATTCAAACATGGATACCCTTTGAAAGTATGTAAAGAGTGGCTTGACTTGCCACCATATATGAAAAATGCATCTTAGATTCAGAAAAGGTAGAACTGTAGAGCTAGGCAGTTGGCTATTACAGATACTGTAGTTAGAAAACATGAAGGAGCTATGTTTGCATAACCAGGCAACACAATGCTAAGAAACTACATAAAATAAATAATACATTTCACAATTTCTTCAATCTGCATTCTTACCAAAGGAAATATGTTGAGTTGTAAGCCTTTCTTACCCCCATCAATGTTTACTAACAAAGGGCATATACTTTAACTTGCATTTAAGGTTACAGTGATCAATGTGACTATGATGCAAATAACTTAAAAATTAATATTTTGATGCAGAGGGGTAAGGCATTAGACAGATTTGCTGATCTTCCTTGAAACTAATAATCTAGATCTGAAGTTTAATTCACCTGTCTGGTTTGCGCTATGATTGCTCAGTCCCTATTTGAAAAACCTGTAAATAAGGGAACAAGGCAGACACATATTTCATAAAGATGTGAAGCCCAACCGAACATTTAGTTTAAATCAGCTACATATTTTTTAGGTGCATAAAAACAAAAGCTGTGCAAAGTTGTACCGTTCATTTTATTAAGAAAGCAACCACAGTCTGAGTAGACAAGCCTATCCCCAGTCAACATGCTGCAGTGAAAGACTCTTACTGTGTAGAAACAGTTACCTCTGTGCAGAGGTTTGACACTCCCCCTTAGTCAAAGCCATCACTCCAAATTGGAAGGGATGATGAGCTTTGGAGAGCTATAGGTCCCATCCAAAAGGGGGCATGTCAGACCTTTGCAGGGGACAGGCTTTTTTACTTAGGATGTGGCTGATTTCTACAAAAAAATAATAAAACTAAGACTTTACAGGCTTTGTTTTGATGCATCTGAAATGTATTTAGTGGATTTAAACTGACAGCTTAATTGTACTTTAAATGCTCTACAAAATATATTAAAAATGTGGAACTGCACCCAAAGTGCTACAGCAATAACTGGTACAGTACCCAGAGTGAGCAAAGCACAAGTCACAATATATAAGCATTTTAAAATGCTTTTAATTGTGCTTTCACATTAAAGGAGAACTATGGGGTTAAGGCTTTTCCCCATAGTTCTCCTTAGGGTAACTTGAGGACACAAACTAGCGTCCTCCCGTCACCCTAGGCTCAGTATATCGTGAGCTGTAGCTCGCGGTATACTGAGACGCCGCAGTATACTGCTCGCGGTACACTCGCGGTACACTGAGACGCCGCAGCTGAAGCGGATCCCGACAATTATGTCTGGATCTGCCCAGCTGCGTGACTGACAGCTGGCTCTGCCTATCTAGAGGCAGAGCCAGCTATCTAGAGGCAGAGCCAGCTGTACCCGCCCCGTCCCCCGTCCGTTCCGCCAGTCAGCACGCGGGGAGGGAGGAATCCAGCCGCAGAGAGCTGTGACAGGATCGAGAGGTGAGCGAACGGCGGAATGTGTTCGCTCACCTCCCGATCTACTAAGCCGACCTGTGACAGTCTCATTGTCACAGGTCGGCTAGAACTATGAGGTGAGTGAAAAGCACTCACCTCATAGTTATCCTTTAACTAAGCCAATAATACTACAAGGGTTGCATTTAATCTGCATCACTCTTGTGAAGTGAAGTTTCCAACATCCATTGTGCTTGTGATGACATTTTAAAAAATGAACTGTTGCAAAAGCTGGAATACTTGCATGTACACCTAATATCACAGACAGTTCAACTTGCAAAAGGAAGTGATATGATCTGAATTGCTTGAAAACTAACCCTACTCTGTAAGCCACTGAGTGTACTTTTTGTCCAAAGTAGGGCTGTGGAAATTAAAGATTAATTTCCCGATGAATTGTTAAACTTTTTGATCCGATTAAAATTATTGTGATCGCTAATGCAAACACTCACCGCTCCGCCGGCTTCCAGGAGTCCCGTCGGCGATCCGGTGACGTCACGGACATCTACGTCACCGGACTCCTCCCCCTTCCCCAAGTGGCTCCGTCGGCTAACGAAGGGAAGGGGGAGGAGTCCGGTGATGTTGATGTCCGTGACGGCTAACGAAGGGAAGGGGGAGGAGCCTGGTGACGTTGATGTCCGTGATGTCACCGGACTCCTTCCCCTTGCATTAGCCGACGAAGCCACTTGGGCTGGTGAGTTTGCCCAAGAAACTTTCTGCACGAGCGCCAGCCAAGGCATTGGCCTATACACATACAGCACAGCAATGAAGTAATAAAATGAACTAGGATTACACTAATCCAGCACGTTATTATTCCGAGTTGCCCCACTCAAGCGGCGGCCATATTGAGTGGGGCACGTAAGATTAATAACGTGCTGGATTAGTGTGATCCTAGTTCATTTTATTACTTCATTGCTGTGCTGTACATGTATAGGCCAATGTAGTTGGATCTGTATGTACGTTATAATTAATCGAAATTAATCGATTAAAAATGTTTTTAAAATTTATTAATCGAACACGAAAATTTTATTCATTACCAGCCCTAGTCCAAAGTGAATGTTAATCATTTTGCTCTACATTTTGCTGAGTATTACTGCATCAGCATCTCATTCACATCCAGTTATTCTGAGCATCTATGGGACAAGGTTAACCAAGCACTCTTACTGATCTTCTTTGCCAGCTGTGCATAAACTATTGCTAAGATTTCCTGAAGTACATTATTTATCACAAATGAAGTCTACCTTGAAAGTAATAAAGAATACTTCACGACTAAAATGTAAAGTGAAAGCATTACGTTCTCTGAATTTGCAAACTTTGCTTCAGACATTGCTACCTAACTGGTATCCAAATATTTTTCCCACATGCTCTTTTCTTTTACTAATCAGCAGCATTTTTGCATATTTAAAATAAAAAAAATTATAAAACCATAGGAAATGGCACCAAGAACTAGACAAATGCATTTGATTTTACAAATATATTTAGCTATTGCAAAGTGATAATAAAATTGCATTACTTTGTGTGTTTGTTTTTGCTGGCTCAGAGTGATAAAAATGTTTAATAAACGATGTATAAAAGACCCGCTTAAAGGTTATTTGGCATTTGTAGCTTGCAGGGAAATAAATTGAATAGTTCCTACAGTTGGCACTTGATGTCTTATGGTTTGGATCTAATGGGAGCAATGGAATAAATGAAAGATTTGCTTTCCATAGCAATCATCTTTTTCTAATCAGCCTTTGAAAACCAATACATTGAATGTGATAGGTTGGTGTAGGTTATGTGCTCTAGTATGATACAAGGTTATTTTAATAAAATTGATACATTTGTCTGAAGACTTTGCCAGACCGGTTTAATTAGTAATAGAATTATAGCTATTGTAAACTCTGCATCAGAGTAAGAAGTGCAAAGTTTTGTTTGTACAAAAGATAAAAACAAATTAAATAAAATATTCATACATGACTAACAGAAGAGAGTTCAAGTTATTGATCCATGTAAATTTTGTGCAACTAGACACCGTTACCTTTAACCACTATCCTGCTGGCTAGAAAAGATGAACATTTCCGATTCTTGGCAAACCGTGGTCTATAAACTAGACACTGAAAATCTAGTAAACATTGTTCTGCAAACCTGAATAGGTATGTAAATTATAGTTCTGTAGCAGATATCACTATAATAAGCAACTGTCCATTTGTACCAGGTTCTGGTTATCATAAGGAGGAACAGAACTTGGCTGGAGAAGCTCATAGAATTCCCCAATCCTGGGTAATTTTGACAGGCAAAGCGCCAACACTTCAATAGGTAGTGTTGGAGTTTGCTGTCCCTTCACGTGACATTTAGACCCACCCATCACTGTGATGGGCAGACTCGCTGGCCAATCGGTATGTGCAGGAGGCAAGAAGGGGCAAGCATTCTTTGGCACCTGCCATAAGAGCCTGGTATTTTGGAGGCTGCTGCAGGTATACAGTACCTGCAGAAGGTTTGGACCCAAGTGCCTTGCGTTACAACTCTGATCTACATACAGTATTATTGGTTGTGATAGATTACTACTTTTCAGCTTTCATTATTGCACTGCCTTTTGGATAAACCCATATCAGCCAAGAAATTGGCACAAATGTTACAGAAACAGAGAAAATGCCTGCAAATGCATCCTGTAAATCAAGCACTTTAAAAGAGAGCAGTTGTAAAGCAGAAATAGCAACTATTAGCAACAGAAATCACAACTATTTTTTAAACCATGTACTATTGCTTCCAATTGCACAATGCCAGCAGTTCATAATGCTAGTGTCACAAAATAAGTATATAGATACAGTTCACAGATTGATTTGGATGGATGAATTGATTTTTGGGTTTCCTTCATTTTATAAAACGTTTTGTGTTGCATCAGTCACTTTCTTGTTTCCAGGTTTGTGTCTAAAGTAACTTCACAGTTGAAGTGATAAAGGCAGCATCTACTTCTTTTATCTTTCCCAATATGGGTTAACCAGCAGCCGAGTATTATATACAATAACATTGGAAAATGTGCATCTTCCCAATAAAGTCCAGGATTAAACAGTCACGGTGCTAACTGATCTGCGATGATTAGCTCTAGTAAATTCTTCTGTGTCCCTCAAAAGATCTGCCACACCTTTAGATGGGGAAACTGCGCTGGGCATAGGCTTTGGCAGATGTAACCTTGAAGTGTCCGTCTCCCTATAAGAATTATGCAGGATGTCCTCATGGCTGGGTGAACATACATTGTGAAGCACTGTTTGTGGAGTTGCTGGTAAACTGCTATTCAGAGTTGTATTGCTAGGATTGGATGCCATTGCAGCACTTTGGCGTCTTTCCTTCCACTCCTGTATTTTTAGCTCTCTTGCTTCCTTACTTAATTTATCAAGCTTATGAGCTTCGATAGTAGGTGTCACTCTACAAGTACCTCGCAGGGCTGTGATGAAATACCTGTTTAAGAAAAACAATGATTATAGTTTTCTTCCAGCATGTCTATATGGGTAAAATTAGTGTAAAGAAAAATGTTTCAGACAGTATGACTGGGGGTCACAATACAGTTTACAATTTGACCATTCAATCAACTTTAGTTTTAGGTAGGTCCTCATATTACATAGTTTTGGTAGATCTAATCTATCAATTTATATTCAATCACGACCTTGTACGACATACTTATTGATAGATCTAAAAAAATATATGGGCCTATGTCAATGGACCTTTATGCGTTTTAAATGGATGTTGCATTCCCATGCAGGCTAAGGTAAAATTCAGGTCTGAAGGAGATAAACTGAAGGCCAGTGAATTCTGTATGATCTAAGAAATGTCTTGGGTCATTTTGCCCACCATGACAAATTAATGAAACCATCAGGTCATCCTGTCACCTTTGTGATGCACATGTAGTGAATAGCTACTTTCCTAAAGGGAAATGTTTTATGTGTTTTTTTGTTTGTTATTTTCAAAAAATAATAATTTGTTGTTCCACCTCATACTTCCCCACATATGCCTTGTGTTCTATTTCCAGAAAATGTATTTTAACACAAATATAAACCGATTACCCTGCACATTATCAATTAAAAACAAACTGGTCCTTGCACATTATGTTTACAGACCCAAAAAGAAAGAACCCTGTTTGAGTTTACCTCTAGTGAAGTTCACCGTATGAGCATTTGGAATGGTGGAATCCATACAAGAATGTTAAGGAAATAGTTTTTTGTTTACACAATCACCAACAAATTGTCCAAGGAATGAATTGGTTTATAAAGTTAAGCACAAAGCTACAACAACATTGCAGCAGATTGCCAGATTTCTTGAGGGTATTAACTTTATTTAATCACATAATCTATCCCTTGTATCACTGGGGTTTTGGTTGGTTTAAGCAGATG